GGAAACATGCTACTAGGAATGCCCCTGACATTTGCTTCATACAGAATCAAAGGAATTTTGTCATTGATCATAAAGGAGCAGGAGGAGGACTTTTAATTTGTAAAATTATTTCAGATTTATTTACAGATTTCCAGGTTGGTACCACAGAATAGCTGGATTTTTCATTTTCTCTTTGTCTCTGTCTCTTTCTTTCACTGTAGTGGAAAAACAGGGGAAAAGGAGTGTTGCAGACAGATCAGATGTAGGAAAAAAAGGTCATGAATGCTAGGACCCAGTTCTTTAAACACTTACTCCTCTGCCCCAATGAAATGTCACTATTAGTGTGAGTATGAGTTACGGAGCCTATGGCCAGAACTACACTACATGGAAATGTTAAGATGTGCAACTCCAGCTATTCCATGCATGAAGAAAATGTGACTCAGGAGTAGGAACCAGCTGGCTATGATCTGTATTTGGACTACAACTGGAAATAGATTGATGTTAGTCGTCATCTAGGTTCACAAAAGAAGTATCATTTTGACAATTGACCATAATGTGATGGCTGTGACAACTTAAAGCACCATGTCTTTTGGAAAAAAGCAGAAAAGTGGAAGATCAAAAAGATATGGAATCTGCTGTCATCCATTCAATATCATATCTTGGATCAAATTTTGCAAATCCACATGCATACTTAAAAGAAAAATGTGGCTACACCTTAATAATGCTTCACACCTACAAAGACATGATCAAAAAGGCTTTCATTTTGTCAGAAAGAAAACATAAAGAGCACACTTCTGAGGGTGACCGTGGAGGGGATGTTGATAGATATCCTTTCTAATGTAGAAGAAATGTGTTTACAGTTACCTATGTATCATGCTGATTTCTCTACATAATTTAGTGAGCAAATATGTTCCTGCTGCTGTTATTTGGTTAGCTTTTCTAACACACCAATTTGCATGACATTCATCACAAGGACTTTTCTCTCAAGTTTTGTTTCCTATATTGTCTGAGAGTTTTTGAAGACTTTTTTTATTCTCTTCTGGTTTTCATGTTTCGTTACTTTCACATCTGTTTTTGTGCTGTACTACTATACACTTCAGAGTCTAGAAATTTAATTTACTGAAACTTTAAAATCAAATAATTTTCTGAACTAGAAACCTCTTCTGGACTGTCAAAAACCCACAAAAACCAGGTGTCTTAATTCTCACATATCTCATTCCTGTACTTGGTTCAGGGATGTGGTGTGAAAAAGGCAAAAGTCACCTTAAGTCACATTTTGTGCCTTCTCCTGCTATAACTGTGTCATAGCACCTTTGACTTTGATTGAGTTAGGACAACTTCTATGAGAATCTAAATTCTAGGGCTCTGAAGGAGGCTGTTTAGCCTGTGGTATAATTAGGTGCTGCCTCAAAGCTGCTTAAATTATGAGGTTCTTTCCATGACCCCTTATGAAGTCTGAGAATCCGAAAATAACCATAGTGGAATGTACTCTGGCCATGTCCTCTGCCTGTTTTACACTTGGGATGTTAAGGACTAGTCAGCTAGTTGACTATCTGGTAAGCAAATGTTTATTGGATAGTCCTCAGGATAGACGACTAGTCGCTTCTCCCCTCCCCCATCCTTGCTGCCTCTGTCAGACTCCACAGCTGACACCAGACTTTGTGCAGAGTTACCCTTTTTAAACACTGCCACAGCATTTCAAAGGGGCAGCACTGCCCTGTTGACTAATCAAATAGTCTATGCAAGGATGCATCGACTATTCGATTAGTCAATTACACACTACTGAACATCCTGATTTTACACCAATTCTGATCTAGCTAAGGAGACCCCAAATATAGAAAAGGACATTATCACCGGCCTAAAGGTTTCTTTGTACTGCTGGAGCAGTGTACAACAGCCTTAGAATATCCGTAAATCAAGCCCTATCTCTCGATTTACAGATACTCAATACTATAGAAGTCCAAATAGGATAACTTTATGCAGATAAAGCACATAGGATAAGGTGTGGTGCAGTGGTCCAACAGCTTTCTCAGTTTTTCAGTGGTGTACAAACACTCTCATGTTCTGCGCCAGAACCAATTATCCATGAACTCCTAGGCTGTGTCTAGACTGGCAAGTTTTTCCACAAAATCAGCCGCTTTTCCGGAAAAACTTGCCAGCTGTCTACACTGGCTGCTTGAATTTCATACTACTCTGTATCTAAAACAGTTTTCTTTTAGGACTGGTATCATTCATAATTAGAAGTGATGCCTTTTAAATAACTATTATTTACAGTATGTCTATGACCTCTATAACATTGCAACATTTTCTACAAAATGAACTCATAAGTTACTGTAGAATATTTTTGTTTCACTGTCCTTTCCTTTTGAGTCAACGAAACACATGATTGATTTGTGAGAACCAAAGAAAATCACTTATGTTCCATTTTGTTTTAAGTGGCAGTTCTAATATACCTATATATTAAACATAATGAGCAAACTGATGCAATGCTGTTTGGAATGTATGACTAATGCTTGGCAAAGAAACATTAGAACATATTACACTCTATTTTAGGTGGCAGTTCTAGTGCATACTTACCTGATAGATACATTGACATGAGGAAAATTGGCTAAGTGTACTAGAATAGAAGAAAGAAATGTGAATCTTTTAATTTTTAATTTGAATACATGTAGGCTGTGTCTAGACTGCATCCCTTTTACGGAAAAGGGATGCAGTCTAGACACAGCCTACATGTATTCAAATTAATGATTAAAAAATTCACATTTCTTTCTTCTATTCTAGTACACTTAGCCAATTTTCCTCATGTCAATGTATCTATCAGGTAAGTATGCACTAGAACTGCCACCTAAAATAGAGTGTAATATGTTCTAATGTTTCTTTGCCAAGCATTAGTCATACATTCCAAACAGCATTGCATCAGTTTGCTCATTATGTTTAATATATAGGTATATTAGAACTGCCACTTAAAACAAAATGGAACATAAGTGATTTTCTTTGGTTCTCACAAATCAATCATGTGTTTCGTTGACTCAAAAGGAAAGGACAGTGAAACAAAAATATTCTACAGTAACTTATGAGCTCATTTTGTAGAAAATGTTGCAATTTTATAGAGGTCATAGACATACTGTAAATAATAGTTATTTAAAAGGCATCACTTCTAATTATGAATGATACCAGTCCTAAAAGAAAACTGTTTTAGATACAGAGTAGTATCTGTAAAATCACCCTGAAATGTTTTGATTGATTGACTCAAGACAAAATTATGATTGGTTTGTCAAGTCAAACATAGTAGAGACTTTGACTTCTTATCCTCATTTGGAATACAATTTTTTTTCCTGAAATCTCAAAAAAAAAATTGTGAGACTGGAAAACAATTTTGGCCCATCAAAACCGTTAGAAATACATTCAACACATTCAATATAAACAAGGCTGAGGGAATTATTTTTGTAGGCATATGGACTTATTTTGATAAGAAAGCTGCTATATGGACAATTCTGTTAAGAATACACAATAGATCAGATTAGAAACTAAAAGTGAATAGTAATCTTAACCTATTGGAAGAATAGATCTGATAAAGTATAATATTTTAGCACAAAATAATTTTCTGTATCACAAATTTCTGCTGAACAATGTAATATTTAATTGTTGTGATTTGTGAGATGTTTAAATGCTAATTTTTATAACTGAAAGTACAAGATAATATTCCTCTAAAAATATCTATTTCAATTATATGTTTATATGGCTATATAAGGAGTTTCCATTAGTCAGTGACAATATAATGCTCATACACAATATGAAATATCAACTTTCCTTTTCTAGGACTTAGTATTATAATTCTTATATGAGAAATTATCAAGAATTATATATAATTCTCAAGAATTATAATATCAATTTCTCATCACTGATTCTGGTCATTGATGGGCAGAATCAAACCTGAAGAATTTAAAAGTCACATGACTTTCAGACAAGATTGTAGCAGCAGCTCACTCTCTAGTTGGACTAGGTGCCTATAGAGGGGGACAGAGTGCCACAGTAAGCAGATGTGGGTTAAACAATCATTCCTTATTCATAGAATACCCCTTGCTGTCAATGGGATTTCTTCAGTAAGTAAGGATTTGCAAGACTGAACACAGATTTAGTTTTCATAAGTAATTATACCAGCAATAATATTGATTAAATCATATAGGTTATTTCCATTGGTATGATTTTGATATGATATTGATAATTTTCCCAATACAGTGTGCAGTAGTTTTCCCTGATGTGTGTCCTGAAAAGCATTATTCACAGTCCTTACACATCTGGGGTTCAGGGAAGTGTGTGTAGCAGCTGCTGCAGAAAGGCAGACACAATAGTCTAAAAGCTTGCAATATAATTAAGTGATAATAGTACTATCACACTGTTTTATGAGGCATTAATACAGTTCCCAAGTGGATAAACTATGTACTGAAAGCAGCATAGTTTATCCCAACAAGGGAACTGGATCATTGGCAAGACAAATACCACAACATTACTATTATTACTGCTATGCTACAAGAGTTTGCTGCTGTTTGTTTGTTTTAAGTCTTTAGATATGAATTCCTATCAGAGCTGGCCCACAGCATTTTGGCACCTGAGGTGAAGAGCTCAAATGATGCTCCCATGCCTCCTCCTTTGGGCCAAAACTTTGAAAGGTCTCAATTCTGCTTTCTTTCTTTTCTACTCCTCTCATGGTACTGCTCTGCAATCTCTGTGCATCTAGAGCAGAGAGAATACCTATGCACCATCATCAGACACAATTTTCTACACTCTGGGTCCTAGTGGTGCCCCCCCCACACTCTGGCACCTGAGGCGGCCTCATGGTAAGGCCAGCCCTGATTCCTATTCTTTGTAACTGTCATGACCATGAGGGTTAGCCAGCAGCCTGGGGACTAAGGGGTTAACTATACCTAAGCCAGGTAGAGTTGGCCAATAGGAATGTAGGTAGGAATGTCAAACTGGGACAAAGGAATTTTTGGGTTTTCCCTCCTTTGTCTCTGGGCAGTTTCTCTCCGGCTACTGAGGGAGACAGACAGAATGTCCCCCTCCAAGAAAAGAGTCTTCACTGTATGTAAGTGGGGTAAAGTTTAGATAAATCCATTAGGTTTTATTGTTTTATGATTTGGGAAATGGGATCTGATGTCTGTGCATTTAGAAATGGGTTTTCCTCTCCTTTGTAACTAAGCTCCTGGCCCAGGTGGGGTCTCCCTGCCCCCTTCCCCCATGAGTATAATACTTTGTGAATTTTCCATCTAGAGTCATTATGCTTGTAACAGGAGTATTGTGTTGATAAAAGCTCTCTCTTTTCTTTTTATTAACCTGGTATTGGTTAATATTTGTGTCCTGATTTTTACTTTAGGGATGAGATTCCCCAAGTGATCTCCCCGCTAATTTTCTTATCCTTACTTGGGTGGTGGCAGCAGATTTTATCCCCAAAAATCTAGGTTTTTAAGATTTTGGGGGGAAGTTGTACACCAAAGCCTGGAAAGATAAGGTTTTGGGGTACTTCTGCAGGCCCCCACTTCTGCATTTATCGTGCTAGAGTGGGGAAGTGGCTAGATGGAAAAGTCACAAAATAATACCATCACCTTTATGCACACTGAATAATCTCTTATTCCAGAAGTTTTTCCATTGAAATTAATGGCAATGCTTATGTTTCAAGCTGCTACTCAATATGAATTAAAGTGTCAGTTCACTATTAGCACCACAGAGTGATTATACTTCATCAGTATTATGAGCCAGTCCCATTTTACAGTTGGGGATCTGATACATGGAAAGACTAAGTGACTTGCCCAAAGTCATTCCAGGATGTCTGTGTTAGAGTAGGAACTTAATCCCAGCCCAACCCCAGAACAATGATTTAAATAAATAAAAACAAAACTAATTTGAGTTAAGGACCAGAGCACCACTAAGTAAATCTTCCAGTTATACATACCTGAAATTTTGAGACTAAATCCTTTACTGTCTCTTAGTGTCCAAACACTACTAGATCAATAGCAGAGTAGCAATACAGCCACCACATGTAACCACAATAACAGTTTGTGTAAGGCATGAGTTTCATTCCTGGGAGACTCAGGGGTACATGTCACAAGTAGCAAATTTGATGAGTGCAAAAAAATCTAGTGCAAAAAAATCGAAGGCAGTTTAATTGATTCATTCTTGGGCGGGAGTGGAAATGTGAAAGGACTATGAGTTAGGGATGAGCCAAATTCTGGATGACAAATTAAATAAGAATGGCTATACTGGGTCAGACCATAAGTCCACCTAGACCAGTATCCTGTCTTCTGACAGGTGCCCCAGAGGGAATGAACAGAACAGATAATCGTCAAGTGATCCATCCCCTGTCACCTAATAGCCAAAGATGGACCTATCCTTCAAGAATTTATCTAGATTCATTTGAAAGGTGGCAGTTTCTCCAATGCATTTAGCAGGAATACACAAAAGAACCATCATCTGGAAACATTTCTCATTTATTCATGATTTAGATGGGATTTAAACCAATTGCTTCTCAGTGACCTACTGAAGAATTGTATAACTAACCCCCACATTAACATGCTTTCGACTGGAAATGAACTGGTAAGGAAGGGATAAAAAGGCAGAATTTTTTTTCAGGTATAATTTTAAAATTGTAATGCCCTGCTTTTTTTTAATCTGAATGTTGTGTGTTTTGAAAGCATTTAGATTTTATTTCTTTAGTGGACATGCCAACACAGGTAGGTGAGCAAAAATGTATTTACAAATTTCAGCTTAAATTAAAATCAGGTCTCGTTTAGGAACTAGTAACCAGCACTGTGCATCAGGTGTGGCTTCCTTGTGATCTCCTTATGCTGGCCTGATTGGTGAGTTGTATTAGTCCAGTCTGGAGGTGACGAACACATAGGTCACATGCTGGAGATGTCTTGCTAGCCACGAATGGATGATGGCATTTTCAATGAGAACTGCAACTTGTTTTTGTGAAATCTTTTTAGAAAGGACAAATTCTTTACTCAGTTACAAGGATGAAATTCATATTGATTCAACAGCTCCCATTATGCAAGCTTTGAATCTGGACCTATCGCAACTGCATTTGCTACTTTAGGAAATATGATGAATTTTCTTTGCACTCGAATTTCAGTGTCTCTTCTAAACTGAAATGGATGACAGACAGACATGTTTATCAGTTCTTTTTAGGGCAAGAAAATAGTAAAAAATAAGATTGCTATTTTTCTCATGACAGTAAATTCAGGGTTTCATCTCATTAGGAAGAAAAAATGAGAAACAGCTACACAAGCATTAATACCAAGTCAGAACATGATGCAGTGCTCTCAAAACTGCTATTACTATAAAAGTGGAAATGGGGGCCATTGATTAAGCTTCTCTCTATTTGCTAATTTGAAACAGTGGGAGAAATGTACTTTGTTTGTAAACATGAATTGTTATTACAAAATTAAATTTAGTTATAATTACTCCAAGTTTTATAGTAATTTTCACTAAATTTGAGAGAGAGCTGAGAATTTTTTAACAATAACATTTGTTGCTGTTGCTTTTTGATTTTTAATTTATTTTTTTTAATTGTTTATATCTACGATGAGATTTAATTTGTTTGTAAGATTCTAATCAGCATCTCTATTCTATTAAATTAACTAAAAGGTCAGGTTACGATGAGATCTCTGTTAGCAACTTTTATTTGCAACTTTATTCATTCAAGTGTAGTAGCTCTAATTTTACTCTTGCAACTAATCTCACAATGAGACTCCATGCAGGAATGAGGACTCCTGTCATTGTTTTTTTTTAATCCACTAGCTACACTTCTAAGTTTATCTTCCGGCCTCTATTTATCAATCAATTACTTCTCAACCATGCTGATTCCATTTATGGTTGATGGAGCTATTGTTATGCTCTGTACTCTAATATCTGCCATGCAACCCCCCAAATCACTTTGCTCACTAACAATTTTTTCATCTAAGAATATAAGACTGGACATCCTGGGTTAAACCTCTAACCTTGGAAGGTCTCTCTCTTCCAAGAGTGGACAGTGCCAGATGCTTCATAGGGCATGACTAGAATAGGGCAATTATTGAGTGTTCCGCAGAATACACACTGTAAAGGTGTGATTTCTAAAGTGGACGAACATATTGCATAATAATTGGTCTGTGTGGCCTCTGCTGGTATGCACTAAAATTTCCTAGTGGACTTTGGCATAAATCTGTTTCAGATAGCATGATGTTAAAGTGGGCTTAGGGAACTTTTAAATGCTTCATGGACAAATCAATGTACAACCCATTAGTATAGTTTAGAAATGGTATCCCCAGAGTATGCACTGGTGTTCCGTATATACAAGATAACACTGTTGAATCATGTTTCCATAGTTTCAAATAACATGAGTTCTGGATCCATGTAAATGAAGCCTTATAGAGTTTACTATTCCAGCAGAAAACATAGTAAAGGACCCCAACAAACCTTCTAAATATTTGAAAGTAGTTAACAGAAGCACTAACTATAACTATTGAAGGTAAAGCAGGCCAAAAATGTTTGTAATTTGCTGAGCAACAATATGTTTAGATATATCTCTGTGTAGCAATTTATGCTACTGCAGCTACAGCACAGAAAATGCTTTTGTAACCAATTTAAAAACATGAATGTTCTTGTCTTTACCCTAGAGCTTAAAGACAATTTACAGAAGTAGGGCAGTATGACGTATTGCCACAATAAACTGTTCTTTTACTTCCCTTTTATAGTGAAAATTAGGGGGACACTGCAACTGCTGTCGAGCCTTAAAATATGTTTGCAATAAAAAGAAACCATTGTGTTTATTTAATTTCAATGGTTTTCCTCATTATTCAAAGTCCTTTTTAAATCTTTCATAGATTCAAATGTGATTATTTGTGAAAAATGTCATAAACCTTGACCAATTAAAGCAAATTTCCAGTTTATGCAACTATAGAAAATCATGTTTCTATTACACTTTAAGTCACAAGAGAATGAAAGAGGATTTTAATTCCATAATTTCCTTCAAATACATAATTATTGGCTGCCCAGGCAGCACTTTGAATATAATATAAAACAATAGCTAGTGTATTTCTGTACAGGAGGGAAAATATGCCTTATCACTATAGCAATGAGTGTGAATGTCTTCCAAAGTCATTGGGATATCATTTCAATAGTTGGAGACCTTCACTTTTATTGTTGGGTTGGTCACAAATGACACATTCTGGTGTTTGTCTCTGCTTCCCTCTTCGATCAGATAGGCAGTTGGAAACATTGAGTGCTTTTATCTGAGACTCTAGGGTGGATAAAGTATAAATAAGGCCTGGATCAATCCCCTTCCTAACTGCTTTCAGGGAATGAAGGTAGTTACCTGAATGAGAAAAAATATAAAGGGGACCCATTTTAGAGAGTTTGAATGTGTCCTAAGAAATCATTGGTGAAATTTCTTTTCAATCCTGCTCAACTACTAACTAGAGAGAAGATAACAAGTGCAGAACAGGAAGTTTGAATTTGCTTATCATCTTAAACCCCAGAACATTGTATTTTTTTCACTGCAGAGAGACTGTCCTCTGGCAGGGAAGATTCATGAGTACCATGTTTAGCATGTCTGAAATATATTTCTAATCCTCAGAGATGGAGTAATTTTTAATGAAACAAGGGTAAAAGGGAAACTATATACAGTGGGGCCAGATTTTGATCTCATGCTTGTGTTATAGTGAAACATTTACCTAAAGGGGTTACCTTTTGTTTACACCAGTGTAATTAAGATCAGAATCAGATCCAAGCTGAAGAAAACTAAAGACTAGAAAGAAGTTACAATGGGAATGATTAAATCTAAATATTCATAGCCCAAGGTACTGAATAACCAATTCAGAAATGTGTGTGTGTCTGTTCATCTGTGAGTCCATTTGTTCAAGAACTCCTCCTAAATGGTAAGAGCTAGGACCACCAAATGTGGTATGCACCTTTCTCTTCTCATAACTTAAAGCAAGGTCAGGGTTTGGTTGTGCCAGGATAATGAGATGTGTGTGGAATGTGATTCTTTCATATCAAATGGAAAGGGAGGGGTGCGAGAAGAGGGACAGTTATATATACAGCTGTCCA